TAAAGGTATGCTTAGAAATACATCTACTTTAAGATAATGGTAAAAATTTTATAGGTTGTAATTCAAAATTTTTTTCAAAAAATTTATAAAAATTATTTTTGAAATACCAATATTAAAAATAAATCATAAAAAATTGATGTTTTATTTGGAATAAACCTAAGTTTCAAAATGTGAAATGAACAATCAAATAACATAAAAGATAAAGAAATAGATATTAATAAATATAACCAGATTCAATTAACATGGAGGAGCTAAAATTTCGAGAGCTAATTTTTTAAAGAGCACTTGTGCGATTTTTACAAAACTTGGCACTATGGCATAATTTGAGCTGTAGAATCGAAATATGGAAAAAGAATTGGTATGCTATTTCAGAAAAAGTCCAATTTTGTGTCAAAATACCTATATTAGAACAATGCTGTTTATAAATCTAATATATATCCCAAGATTCCTTTCGAGACTTGCAAGTTAAATTTAGACAATCTGTCCAATAGAACGGGAGATATAGAATTGTCCAATTTTCTAGTGCAAGGTGTAAAGTTGTAGTGAGTAAATAATAAGAAATGCAGCCATATGATATTAAAAACTATATTGTTATGCACTAATTTGTGTGTGCTTTAAAACATGGGAATAAAATTTATTAACTTGTTTATGTTTTTAATATTAAATGAGAGTATTTTAATCAAAGGTAGATGTTGTAGCCACAGAATGTGGTAGGTTTGTCCTTATTACATATACGTGATGGCCATCCAAAATGCAACAGCTGAAGGATTTATTTATTAGGTTTGAAATTTGTGTCATGCCTATACCTCAGTAAGATATGGGAGTGATTAGGACTACAGTGCATATGCACATAATGTGTAGTAGTAATGCCAATTAGAAACACTATGTAAAGGGATAACAGTAATACAATAGTAATATAATAATAATGTAGTAATGCAGTAGTAATAGACAATAGTAATAGAACAATAATGAACAAGTTGACTGTTTTAAGTACTGGAGTTTTGTGTTTCCTGCTGTTCCATTGTGTGTAGGTTGGATCACTTATTGGATCACTCAAAAGAATGGGAGTCATTTGAGGAAGTCCTTAATTTTGATATGAAAATTATTGATCTGTGGCCACTTATTAAAACCTTTGCATGCTTCTTGTTGTAGCGAGAAGTATATAAGTAGTTGGTAGATTCTTCGTCATAAATCAGGAATTTTTAGAAGCTTGTGATTAGAAATGTATATAGTGTAAATATTTATGCTATAATTTCTGAAGTTCTGTATAAACTGAGCATATACAACTGTGTTAGATATTGCACTTTATTTTCTCTGAGGGAGCTGTGAGTATTTTCTCAGTAATTTTAATTACTGAGAAAATGCACACTCACATACTATGTTATATATATATATACTTGTATATTGAATGACCCAAAATTCATTGAATTCAAAAACAAGTTTTTCTAATACTTGCGCAATAGCTGCAAAGTAAGATGATAATAATTTATTTACTGAAGAAATATTGATTATCTTATCTCCTAGTATAAATTTAGTAGAATGTATCAAAAAGAGGAAACCCATATGTAGGAAGTTTAATTCCAAAAATTGTGTTTTAAAGGAACTTGAATGTAAATCATGAAAAAAACTTTTTAAGGGGACTCAGTTTAAATCATGAATAACAAAATTTCCAACTTTGAAAAAGAAAGTAAAAAACAAGTAATTATTGGTTTTGTTTGGAAATTAGTTGACTTTTCAAGGGGAACAAACCAACTCCCGTTCAATGGACAATAATTAATAAATGCTTTTACTGAAGTAAGAATGATGATGTCAAACTGGCAAATTAAGTTATGCCAAAATTGTAGTTCTGTGAAGTGATGGGATTATAGCCAGAGTAGAGTATCACAGAACTCATTCTGAATGAATCATTTTCGCTAATACAAGATTCTTTAGAAATTTTGAGTGAATAGCCAATTTATGTAGTGAAATTTACAAGATACTTGAGTAAATGTCCCCCGACATAATAAACAGTAGTAAACTGGAATTATGAAATAGAACTCAAAGTAATTGAGGTAAACATAAGAAAAATAAGAAACCTAACTAAGTTATCTTTGCAAAAACAAATCAAATAAAAGTTGAAAAATTGAAATATATATAATAAGAAAGTAACATGTGAAATGTACATGAAAATGTAAAAGGCCAGAAAATGCATTAATTAACTTAAGTTCTTTCTAGTGGGATGTCAGTAAAGCGTTCTCTTCTGTGTCTGACTCAGAAGGGGTGTGTGTCCAAAATTTTGAAATACCGTTATCGGCAGTGGAGATACTTTGAATTATTACAGGCGATGAAACTTTAGGGAAGCTATTTTGGGGACTGGGAATGCTGGAGGGACGTTTGTTGCGGAGTTCTTCTGTGAGTGAAAATGTCTGTTAAAATTTTGAATATTTTAACTAGTGAATGGAAATTAATGAATTTCCGGTTAATTGTATATACACACACAGTCTTTTGCAAAAAAATCGAAGCACCATGAAGGTAATGGTTGTTTTTGATAAAATTGAATATGTGAACAGCTCATACACAAATAATAAAATGATAATGTTAAATGTTAATAAAATGTTAATAAAATGACACAGATAATAAATCAAGGTCATAGTACCTGTTCACAGCTCACAAGCACCCGTTGATTGTTCAAATTAGTAGTTGGTCGAACCGCCCCTGGCGGCAATGCATGCCTAAATTCATGAAGTCGTCGAGGCAAGGAATGGTAGAGGTTCCTAATGTCATCCTGCGACACATTCTGCCAGGTATTCATCAGTTGTTGCTCCAGATCTGTGATATTTTGTAGAGCTCGAATTTGGCAGCCTATCATGTCCCAGACATGCTCGATTGGTGAAAGGTCTGATGACCTTGCTGGCCAAGAAAGAGTATCAACCGCACGGAGACAGTCCAGAGATATACGAGCGGTATGTAGCCTGGCATTATCTTGTTCGAAAATGGCCCCAGCATGGCTTGCCATGAAGGGTAATGCAACTGGCTGCAGGATGGTATAGCATATCGTTGAGCTGTTAAAGATGTACAGAGGATGACTAAAGATGACTGCTGTCTTAAGAAATAGTGCTGCACACCATCATATCACACCAGGAGCCCAATCAGCCTTTGTAAAACAAAGCCTGATTGGGACTGCTGGCCTCATCCTCTCCAAACACGAAGGTCATCTGCTTCAAGAGTGAAGCGGGATTCATCGCTGATCACTATACGATGTAAGTGTGATGGGAGCCAAGATGATCAGCTGCGACACCACTCCATGCGACTCTGCTGATGTTGTGGGGTCAAAGGCAAATGTCTTAAAGGCCTCTGTGAGCATAATCCTGCCTCAGACAAGCGTCGTGAGATGGTGGATGGTACCACAAGTGATATAGATGTAGCTGTAGTGTGTTGATTAGTCGACAGTGATACTGTTGGGGTGGTTCAGGCTTGGCTATTAATTATCCTATCTTGCCTCACATTTGTGCTCCTTGGCCTTTCAGAGCCTTCATTTCGTCGGCAATTTCCTTGTAGCAACCATTGCTGCCAACATCTTTGTACAGCCTTGTCTGTACATTGCAGGTGGCGGCCTATTGTTCAGTATGACCACTGACCACTCAGCTTCACGCAATCCTACAATGCGACCACGTTCGAAGTTGTTTAGTTGTCTGTAAGGTCTTCAATATCATCCTAATGGCATCTTTAGTTGCTTCTTTATGGAATTACAATGGCAGCAGTAAAAAAGGATAAATTTTCTGCCCTGTTACTGGTTTTATACTTTGTGAATTGTGCACTAGAAATGCGCACTGTGATTGCAATTCCTGTTCATTTGCCTTGAAACTTTGATTATTTGCACGTTGGGTGAAGATGATTTTGCATACGAAATTTCGTCACGATTGCAAAAGTCCTTCTTGGTGCTTTGATTTTTTTGTAAAAGGGTGTGTGTATATATATATCTATATATGCAAATGAAAATTGAAAAGTAAGTCTAATCGTATTGTTAGTTTAACAAAGTAAAATAATGAAAATGGTATCAAAATGGGATAAAAATGTTTCTCTTATACAGTCCATGCTTGTTTTTTCATCAGTGGGATAATTTAGTACTACACACTTTTCCAAACATGTTAGCTGTTTTTTTGGTTCCTTTCATTTCATGGGCTTGTTATTTTCATCATCATTTGTTGACAATTTTGTGGCCATGCATTATCATAACTTTTTAAAAAGAGGTCCTCCTCTTTGGCCTGATTCTGTGGATGTATTGCTTGTGCATCGATATAATGTTCACCATAAATAGCTATCATATATTCATGGATTTTGATTAGTGTGCAGTTTTAAGAGTGAAAAGTTTTATTACCATTAGCTATTTTATGCAGAACTCAGCACAGTACTCATCACTGATGAATGTTATTATTAAAGTTTGACAATGAAATGAAATTTAAGTTCATGTACACCTGAGATTTACAAATTGCCAGAAGCAGATGGTAGAAATTTTGTATCAAAATTCCAAGTGAGAGGCAACCTTACTTATGAATCATTCTTGATATATATATATATATGTATATATGTTGCTACGAAGAGAAAATTCTATTTTCTTTCTTTTATTCTATTTCTTTCTGTATTCTTATAATATGTAACCATATTATAAATATGGATATATTAAAATGCAGTAAGTGTTAGATCAGTATTCTTTTAAAATGATTCATATCTTATAATGCATTGCTATGTTAAGAGCAAGCTTGTGAATTGCATTTTGATAGGGAGCTGATTATGATAGAAACCATGTTTTAAAGTTTTTGCAGCTTTTCAGTGTTTAAAAATGAATTGCTATTAATTGCTTTTGAGTGTTTAAAATTAATTGCTCTTTTAGCAGAAGTTTTATTGGAGTTTTTTCCTCATATTATACATTAATATAAAGTTGCTCTTTTTTTTATTTTGAGTAAACAACATATTTTCTGTATAAGCAATGTTTCTATTTCTAATTTGTTAATCTGTTTTAGATGAAATACCCAGCGAAGCCACAGCTTTCGCCTCGACCAAGCCCACTGCCTGTTTTGGTAACATCTTGGCCCAGTGAAATCAAACTAGCGCATTGGAGAAAGAACTTGAAATCGCGAATATGCGAAAGGAGTTGTCTCAGAATATGTCGTCTTTGACAGCAGAATCGTCAAAGGACAGTTTAGAAAATTTAATTAAGAGTATTAAAACGCTGTGTATCCCAGTACCCTCGAGAGCAGAGTTATTTGGTCTTTTTCCCCCCCAGTCCCTTAAGAAAGTGTTTAAAACCAAAAATATGCCCCAATGAGCAAAAAATCAGATATTCTTTTACATATTCTGGGGAGAGAACGAATAATTTAATACTTTATTTAACTGAAGAAGACTTGTGCAGTTATGATAAGCTTAATGACGAATTGAAAGAATTTAAACCAATGCCACAAGAGCGTTTAAACAATTTGCAAAAAGTGCAAAAACTACATTCACAGAGTTATGTGCAATTTGCATCCAGATTAAGTGCTACATTTCAGTATTATTGTCAGCTGCATAAAGTGAGGGATTATAAATCATTATGTGAATTAATTGTATCAGATAAAATATTCGGTTTACTTGATTGCGAATTGATGACACATATTGCAATTAAACAAGGAGAATCATATTTTAACCCACAAAAGCTAGGACGAGAGTGCGACATTTATTTAACTTCAAAGGGTAAAGGTAGACGTGAATATAATGTATTTACAAAACCTTCTAATGGAAACGAAATTAAATGGCTTGAATGTCACAAACAGCAAAAGTTTCAGAACTCGCGTTTTCAAAAAAAGGTCTTGAATGTGTTTTTATTGGAAGAAAAAGGTGTTAAATGTAATTTGTGTAAAAATAATGAAGTCGACACTTTAAATTTTTGTTCGCAATTTAAAAAAACTTTCAGTTCCTGAAAGAGTAGAAATTGTTAAAATGAACAAGGCATGTTTCAAATGTTTGTCCCCTGAATGTAGTGCAAGAAATTGCTCAGCGAGAGATTGCTTCTGTGGCAAACCACATAATAAATTAATTCATTTTTCAAGACAAAATAAAAATAAGCCCGATTGTAAGACTTCATCGAATGTCCCTTGAACTGCAGACCGGAAATCAAATTGGTGAAAGTGCAGGTTTTTCCCCCCACGCATGAGTCAAACGTGAATAAATCTGTCGTCGCCTCTAGTTTTGCGAAAGCTAACACCAAGAATGTTCTACTGAGTACAGTTCGAGCATTAATTAAAAATAACTGTTCGCAGTGGGAAGAGGTGAGATGTATATTGGACTCAGGCTCCCAGACATGTTTATTAAGTGAACCAATATATGAAGCACTTAGAATTAAAAAGCAAAAAAATAAATAGCATTAAAAAGCGAAAAAATAAATACATTAATCTTGTGTTTAAATGATTCGTCAATGGTAGTGAAAGGTCACGTTACGACAACAATCGCAAATAAATATAGCAGTTTTGAGAAAGAGATAAATTTGCTTGTAGTAAAAAAAAAATTACAGATCTTATACCACATCAGGTACTTAATGTAAATATTGAGGTTTCAGATTTAGTACCATTAGCTGATTACAGTTTTAATATTCCAGGGAACATTGATATGTTGTTAGGTGCAGAGATATTTTATGAATTATTAAGACCGGGACAGATTTATGCACAAAATTCGAAATTACTTTTACAAAATACTGTGTTTGGCTATGTCGCGAGTGGAAGTGTAGATCAGGGAAATGAGTCTAAGATGCATTGCGGATTGATACGCTAAGAGGATTTAGATAAAACTTTAAAAATTGAAAATGTAGATTTAGAATTAAGCAAAAGTAAAGAAAATTCTATATGTGAGGAACATTTTGTGCGACACTGGAGAAATGAGGAAGGTGGTAAAAATGCCCCTTAAAGATGATCCTTCATGTTTAGGTCAGTCTAGGGACATTGCTCTTAAAAAACTCAGATCGCTGTGGACTCGCTTGTCGAGAGATCCAAATTATCTCTCTCTGTATCGTGAATTCATTCGTGAGTATATTCAACTAGGACGTATGAAAGAAGTTAAAGAAGAGAAAGAGCCTGAAGTAACGTATTATGCAACACATCATGGAATATATAAACCAGAAAAAACTAATACTAAGTTAAGAGTTGTGTTTAACTGTTCAAGTTTAACACTTCGGTTTTCACTACCTCCCTAAATCAAAAAAGTTATTTTATATAAGCATTAAATTCACTTATCCTTTTCATATAAGGATGATTAACGAAATCACTGCATTTTTCATACGAATGCCTTCGAACTTGTTTGTAGGATCTTAAGTTTTACTAACGTTTATTTTATTTTAAATCTTTACTATCACTTCTTATTTTCTACTTCCGGCCAGAATTATAAGCGTGAAGGTTTTATGCAAAGTTTGTCTGGCGAACGCCAAGTATTTAAGTGTGGCCTTTTTGCCAAGCGAGAGAGAGGAAGCAGTGAGTTCGAAGCAGGCCGCTTACCTTAGAAGTTACGCAGTTGCTGGTTTGCCTTCCAGGCCAGAGGTTTTAATCCTCTTGATAAATTAAACGTATTGTAGTGTTCACAGTCTCTGTACTACATACGCTTCCTGTTAATTATAAGGCCAATCTTCCACGTTCTAAAGTTAAATTAGAGTTTAGTTTTATTTTTATATCTTTTACGTTAGACCCCGAGTGGAGGGTCATTGTATTCCGAAGTACGGAAGTTATTGTATATAGAGAAAAAATAAAGGGTTTTGTATACCCTTCGTCTGTATCCTGTCTACTTACCCACAATTAGTGAACATAGCTTTAGTAAGCTCTCTGTTCCGAGTCAGGTCCTTGTATGTTTCCCGAAGAAGGTTAGAAGGAAACATTGAACCTGATAGTGGCGCCCGAACGAAGAATAACCATGGCCGAGTTTCAAGAAGAACCTGTGCTGCCTGCAGAAACGGCTCAGAATCCAGAAATGCCAGCTGCCGCCCTGGAAGGATTTGGGTTACATCGTCCAGACCATGCGCGCTTCGATGAAACCAGAAGCAACATTTAATGGAAACTCACCGGTAACCAGTTTTTTGGAAAAATTGGATGACCACTTCATGCTCTACCCCGTGCACGAGTTTCAAAAAGTTACCTTAGCTACCAGCGCTTTGAGGGGCCAAGCGCTTAACTGGTTCAAATGTATAGGCAGAAGTCTCTTGGGTCAAGCAGGAAGTCCCACCTATACTTACGAAAATTTCAAGACTGCCCTACTAAAAGCCTTCCCTGTTGTAAGGGATCGTGCGAAATTAGAAACGGAACTTTTCAGTATATATCAACAAAGAATCGAAAACCTCTCGAAGCTTTATTTTAAGAAAAATTCACGTTTTCAAGCTCTTGTATGGAAACCGTCCGGATCCTGAAATAATTCAAGTGATTTTGCCGAGGTTACTGCCCCAAGTGCAAGACTTTATTGAATTAAGAAATCCGACTACACTGGAAAAGTTATTTGAGCTAGCAATCCAGTTTGAAAGTAGAAGAACGGCGGACGTCGAAAGAAGACGCCAATATCAACAGCGAAACCAATTTGGTACGCCAAGACTACAGCAAACTCAAGCACACGGCTACGGAGAAAAGCGAATCAGTGGGCAAGGAAACCCGAGCATTCAAAAACAGCCGGCGAACGTCGACAGTTCAATAGCAACCCAGGAAAAAAGTCTCAAGGCCAGTGGAAAAAGAAGGAAAGCACGGAAAGAAAAAATAATTTAAACTAAAACGGATTTCTGCTGACGAGAGGGTGCGGAAATCCGAAGGCCACGAAAAACCCCTCTTCCTACAAGTTAAATACAGTAATGGTGAAAAATTTGACTCTTCCGAAGATTGAAGTCTTGGTGAATAATATCCCGCCACCGCACTCCTGGATACCGGCGCGCAGTGTTCCTGTGTGGCAGAAGTCTTTTTTTTAGAAAGTATTTTCGCAAATACCGCATATATAATGCGGATAATACGACAGTGTTAGCGGCGCAAGGAGAAAATGTAAGTGCGTAGGTAAAGTACCTTTGTATATCCGTATCAAGGACGAACAAGTAAAGGTGATGTTTTTTATAGTAAAGAATCTGCAAGCACATTAATCTTAGGAATAGACTTTCTTTCAGACGCACAAGCTACACTGGATTTTAATGAAGCGTCCCTTAAGCTGACAATGAAACCAGTGCGTGTAGAAAAGCTTGAACCGCCGATGTTAAATCTTGACCACCTGCCTAATGACGAGCAAGATAGAATCCGACAAGTGGTAAGTGAATTTGCTTCGTTATTTAGTGATATTCCAGGATTTACTCAGGTTACTAACCATAGTATTGACACCGGAGATGCATTGCCAGTTCGTCAAAAACCATACCGGTATGATAAGAATAAGGAAAAAATTATAGAATGGCATATTACCGATATGCTACGTAAAAAGATCATAACGCCCATCTCAAGTAGTTATGCTAGCCCGGTGGTTTTATGTAAGAAAAATAATGATTATCCTTTGGAGCATCCAAAAAGGTGGAGATTCGCTATTGATTACCGTAAATTAAATTCCATAACGAAATATCCGGTATATCCGTTACCGATTATAGAAGAAATTTTAAGGAACATAAAATCAACCAAATTTATGACGACTTTAGACTTAACGACTGGTTATTTTCAAATAGGGGTTAGGCCTGAGGACGTGCCTAAGACTGCTTTTATAACCAAGTCTGGCACTTATGCATTTTTGCGTATGCCGTTTGGCCTTTCAGGGGCCCCAGGCAACATTTCAGCGATGCATGGACATTGTGTTAAGACCTGTTCTTGGAAAGTCCACATTTATCTATTTAGACGATATCATTATTACTAGTGATAATCTCGACCAACATGTACAGGATTTAAGACAGGTGTTTTCTTTATTAAATGAGGCCGGTCTAAAAGTTAATGTCGAAAAGTGCAAATTTGCAGCCCCTGAATTAAAATATTTAGGTTACAAAATATCTCAAAAAGGAAGATCGAGACAGATGAATCAAAAATAATCGCTGTACAAAAGTATCCGACTCCAAACACGGCAAAGAAGCTCTCTTCTTTTCTAGGACTTTGTTCATATTATAGGTCCTTTATAAAAGATTTTGCGGCTATCGCTGAGCCATTGTTAAAATTAAAAAGGAAAAAGGCAAGATTCTCGTGGACGGCCGAAGCCAATAGTGCTTTCGAAAAATTAAAACAAGCATTAACGCAA